TTGGATATCTTTCATGCAATTTTTGTGATGTCTTTCTCAATACAGCTATGCATACAGCTGTATATTTACCAGGATTTGTAATTATTATGCATTGTGTTAATTTCTGAATAGCAAAACTAAGTCAGAACGTAATATTTTTCAAAATAACACCACCAATTCAGAAGAGTCTGGGGGTTGAGTGACAAGGTTAGGTTATTCTGAATGTTGTGACCAACTGCTGAACTGTCAGACTGTGGAGTGACTGTATGACTTATTCATTTAGTTTACTCAGTTATTGGCGTGGGCCTCCCCAAACTAGTGAAATTCCTGTTGCAAAATGCGAGCTGCGATTTTGTTATAAAATTGAGGTTCATATATTCAAGCTTCTAATGAAATTGAATCCACTCTACCTCACTTTGAAGCTTTGTGTTTCTCTCAATAGTCAGACAAATGCGAAACATTTCAGCGTTTATGTGTTTAAAAATATTGATTTGCTGAATTTTATATATAGACTAAATCTATATGTTGATATGACTGTAAAAATTACGGAATTGATTGCAAGCACTTAAATCTGGAAATAGTTGACAGAATGTTGTTTTAACAGTCAGACCGCTTGTACAAAGGCATAACTCAGATTTATCAGCATTTCATCCACACAAAATTGACTTATCTATTGTCTATACAGGCTATTGGATCATTTGATTTATTAGTATCGAGGATAAAAAGATGAAATAGATTTGAAAATGCAATGACAAGTTAATAAATCAGTAAATTAGGTATATCAATGTTTGAAATATTGCCATACGATGAACATTTTCTTGTTGTAGGCCTATTTATGTCTCTTTTTCGCTCGATTCTTTGTACAACCACATGCAGAGCAGCACAGCAGTTTTTTCCTGTTCATATTCAAAACAAAAACCTGCTTCAAAGATACATAAAACTATTTTATACTACGCTATCAATAGACTATATTAAACATGTTATTCGCATTTCCTATGTTACAATATATAGAATATAGGAAATTTAAAGACTTCCGAAACAACATTATGTAAAATCATTAATTTATTTTTTATTAATTCCACATCCGATAAAAAAAGTAATGAAAATATTAATATTGAGATTCATGTACCATAATTCTTGGTTGTCGACTTTTGCCCATATTCTATCCCATGCAAACAAAAATCAAAAACTCATCTGTTCAATAATAATAAATAGCATCTAGAGCATAATAAAATGTTGCTGTCCATTTTATTAACAAATTAATTTAGCATTTCACATTGACAATCATGTAAACACCAAAGAGTTTTTTATATATTTGATTCCCTAATGTTTCATCCATTAGCAGAATTCTTAATAGCATTCACTTCAAAGATAAATTCCTATTAAATGATTTATTCCTAGCAAAACCGGGATGCTTTATTTCATAAATAAGAAAAATATCCGTTGGGAATGGATATAAAATTTGACTTAGTTGGGCCATTTTCAACAGAGTTTTGGATATTGAATAAACAAGACGAAGCAACAATGGTTTATAATGTCAATGAATATATTTCTGTAAATTTTTTTGTTGAGAAATTTGTTTCAACATTGATGTATTGGTATTATCTCATATTTAATAGTCATTTATCGACCACCTAGCTGCTCAAGTCATCTTAGCATCGTTTGTGGCCATGTAAATTGAAAAGATTTATTAGTTTTTTTATTTAATTATCTTGTTTCGGACATTTACCAATATTGTAAATTTTATGCAGGCTAATTTAATGATCATAGTTTAGCCGGCAGCAACCCCTGATTTCATGACAAAATAGGGTTTCAACAATTTTAAGTGGAATCTGCCACACATTTTTATAAATTCGTTGATTGTACTTTCCAAGTTTTACAGGAATCTAATTGAAGAGCATTTCTAGGTCTGTCAGTCTGTGACTAGTTTCATTTCTTATTGAAATGTTTGAATGAAAACATGAATATTTTGAAAATATCAATTTGTTGTTGATTGACAATGAATCATCCCATTGGCTGTTTGGGATCCTTCTAATAATAGAAAAGTCTGTTTGTTTTGTACACACATACATTTAAATGCCTAACCTGATCAATATGGCTTGCAAATACGATTCATTTGTTGATGTTTCTTTAAACATGGGGATAATTTGCTATCTATTTTTAGGAAAATATTCAGTTGGAAATGATATATTGAGTTTTAACATTTGGTTAGTTTGATCAATTGAGTGTGAAATGTTCAGCCGCATCAATAAAGGGAAAAGATTAAGTTTCAAAATGAATAAACACAGCTTGACCGATATAATATTCCTGCAAGTTCTAAGTCAAAACTATTCAGTTTTTTTTCATCTTTATATGACTGATAATGTGTTCATAATTGTAACACAAGTAAGTACAAACGTTCAGCAGCAAATTTAAGTATGTATTCACACCCTAAACCAATAGGTTGCTAATTACAAAGCAGTATACAGATTTTATTATCAGTGTTTGTCGTGCCTATTTGATTAATTTCTATTTCAACGTTAGCATAAGTAAAAAGGGGGTAGGAAACATTTTAGGTCAAAAAATATTGTTTTGCTTTATATTGTTGGATGTTTGCGAACTGCCCTTGTGGGTATAGCAGATAAGAAATCACAGGTTATGTGGCCATGTCCCATCATGATCATCAAAAGTCGAATTTTTAGTGATAAACTGAAGTTGGTGTTTCATAAACTTATTGGGTTTGTTAGATCAAATCTTGAATTAGGAGAAAAAAAATTAATGTTTAAATTATTTTTCAGTTTTTGTTTGTTGGACAGTGGCCTTAGTCAACAAGGCACAGGATGTTGTAAAATATTTATGGCTGGGAAAGTTAGTTTGAATCATAAAACTGCATGTACATAAAAGAGACTGGGAATTTAGCACCAAGGTGCGATCATTCTGGTTGACCTCAATATAAAGATTATAGACATGCATAAAAAATAATTTTAAAGGTAGCTTAGCAAAATAGTGGGGTGCCAAAATATATTGTGTTCCATACCATAAATTTTATATTTTTCAGAGGAACTAACACAAGACTGACATATTAAATAAAGTTTCAACTTGACCACAATTTCATATACATCCTATATATAGGCCTACTATTGGGAATCTTCTAATTTATTTGTAATAGTAAAATATTCAGCTTTGGCCATCCCTCTGATCAGTTTTGTTGAATTATTAATAATTTTCATGTTTTCTATTTTGAGTTCTTGCCAATTTGATGAAGCGAAACTGTGTTCAAGAAGTGTAAATAATCTACAACTAAATTGGATGTAATGATATGCCAACTTGGGAGTAAAAGCAAGTTAATAGACACAACTTCTAAACATATTGAAGGCTAGCCTCGTTATCTGATTCTAAAAATTACCTTAATAAAACAATGTTGCAATATGTATGGTATTTGCAACTATCTAACCTTCAGTTGTAAATGATTAGATTTGAAAGAAAAAATGTTTTCGGTTATGGAACAACATATAAATTTAAGTGCAATATCCTACATTTTTCAAATTTGTAAACTATTTTAAAATATTTATTTAACAATAATATTTCGTGAAAAAATTATCATACAATTTTCCAAATATTCTAGAATACATCATACTTCGTTTTCTCAATTTTTGTATTGCCAGGTTCCTATAAATTTGATGTCATTTTTTTAAAGTCATTTTGGCAACTTATCTCGTGTCATTTGGATTGCTTGATTAAGAAAGAATTAAGTTCATTTTCAAAGCACTCTTGAGATACTAAAAAAGAAATTGTATTCACTGTTCAGTATGCCCTGAGGCAAAGTGTTATAGGCATTTCAAATATTCTTCCATATAATAATGTGAACAGCCTATTGAATGAGATATAATTATAGTCTGGCTTGCATTTCTACCCTGGCATAAGATAATACTGGAAAATGAATACTTCGGGTGTCAAGTTTTAGTGACTTTAAATCCAAAATGACTTTAATTGAAATAGTAGAGTTCTGTTGAATCAAATTTCTTCCTATTTGTAAATTTTACAAATCTACAATATATAAAAAGAACAATATTGAAAAAGGAGTTTTGAGAATTCTGATTAATATTTTTTTGCGATTGAGCTTAAATAGTAATTTTTTTTAATTATGAATAATTTGATATGCATTTTGTAATAATATTTCAACACATTTTTTTGAAATGGTCGTTAATTTTGATATTTTATTGGTAATGGACAATTTCTAAAATGCTATTAGATAATAAAGCTGGATTTAAGAAGATTGGGCTATTTAGGTATATGCATCACTGGATCAAAGTGTAACATTTAACTAAAATCTCCATGTATACCTTTTAAATTAAATAGGCCGAGCTACCTTTCCATCTCTTCTATGAAGCATTAACCATAATGCTGCCTGCAGTAGTAGGAATTTGATTGATTTTCAAAAGTGGATTATCTGCTATTTGTGCAGTGTGTTGTTCAATCCAATATGTTACCCTGTATTGATTATGGGAGATGCTGCCTGATAGCATTAGTTTTATATTATGTGCTTAGACATCGTAATGTAATACAGACTGGGCTGGAAAGGAAGCCGATAGGCTGATTGTTGAACAGAGCTATAGAATTTAGAAAAAGTAGCAGACAAGCACTGATTTATCAGCTAATGTATGAGGAAATGACTCAGTCGCTTCGCTTGTTTAATTAAAGCGTTCACTATTTAATTCGGTTATTATAGATTCCGATTAAAATGAGTACTGCCTTTCTATGTTTAGATTCAGGCATACAGCAATGTTATTCAGCTGTTAGTTAATGCTGAAAATTTTCATTTATTAAATTGAATACAAAAGACTATACGAATTTTAACCAATTTTAATTGAAACTGAACTAATATAATTTTTTTTATCTTAAAATTCAGTTTTTTTTTAGTCTCAAAAAACTTTATCGATACTTCTGAGCTATTGTTGGACATTTCCACTGTTCCCAGCACACTTTCTTTCCTGTTCATGTTTTGTATTTGTCGTAATTTGGTACAAGTAATCAATCTTATTTGTTATTTCACAGACTGTTTGAATTGTAGTTGTTCTATGTGCTTTGCTGAATATTGTTGAAGCTAGGCCTTGCCATTGAACTGCCAAACTGGTTGACTAACAAGCGAAACATCCTCAAATCTGCTTTTATGGTGTGCAGTTGACATTTGCTCAACTGCTGTTGCCTTTAGACAGCAAGAAACAGTGGAACGGAACTTTACATATAATAATTGTATTTTGAAATATATTCATCATGGCCAGCGATCCTCAAAAGCTGGAAGAGTTGAAGCGAGAAGCTGAGCGAATTAAAAAAGAAATAATGGTAAGCTTGTCTTCCATTTACGAACTAATTTTTTCATTTTCTCAGCCTATTTAGAAACAAGTAAAATATAAAATACACATTGGTATCTGCTGTCAATTTCAAGTTTATTTGGCTCTAGGTTTGACATGTATTTAGTGATATAATGCTCTTTTCTGTTAATTTATATTGTTCCTAATCCGGTACCGACACAAAAATTTCAAAAAATCAAGTGCAAGACTAGCAAGTACATGCCATGACTAAGGGAAATAGATTACGCACTCTTAAATGTTAGCTTCTTTTTGTATTTTGTGTTATTTAGTACAACGTACTGCAGTCCATATGCTTCTAATATATTCACTGTCCTTTTCTTTTATAGGGTCAACGTAGAGCAGTACAAGACACAACTTTATCTAGGGTAAGTTAAATTAAAAATGTGATGCCAATGATGAAGTAATTATCTGATATTTTAGTGTATTATATTCACATATGTAATAGAATATCTACGTGTACATAAGTTATTGTGAGTATTCAATATGATAATGGAAAATATTGTATGTTTTGGTTTTTATCATCTTAATTTCATGTAATTATAATCAAAGACTATATCAGTTGTATATGCTATGAAACTTAAATTAATACGTTGAGCGTACTGATTTCTTTTTTCTGTGAATACGGTCGTATGACATAATGAGTCAGGTTTGAACTACTGCCAATATAAGGGATAGACAGCATAAAAATTGTCCATACTGACACACTTTGGCTGTAAAATATATTTTACTGATCAAACTACTAATATGTATAACCATAAATCCATCACCTTGAGTATCAAAAATCTGCATTTCATGAATTAACATTATTGGCAAGCAACTTTGATATTTAGTCAACTAAATTCACTGCAAAGGTCAAAAGAGTGCCACACCCTACTAGAACTATCCGAGTCTCCACATTTTGTTGTTAAATCATAAAACCGAATGGTAGTATCTTGTCTACTCGATGGCTTTTATAGGCCACTCCTTGTTGAGGACACAGTCTAATTTTTGTCGTGTGCCATTGGAGTTATTAATTATGCAACATTGTCATTGATCTTTTCTCTTCTGGTGACTGGGCTCTTTTATGTTGCTTTATTAGTATTGCTCAAGAAATCACATGAATGATTTTGCGGATGTAATTTTTGTTATGCTACGTTCCACTTGATACAACTAATAAACAGAATGTGATATTGGTACAAATGTAATCAAAGAAATTTGATTGTTATATCAACTTCTTTATGTATGGTAGCCTATATAATATATATAGTTATTTTTGATGCTAATTTTGGTGTTTTTCGAATTTGCTCCTCCTATCCTAGTTTTTGATCTTAAAAAAAAAATTTCTATTGTTCTTCAATGAAACATGCATTACACCAGCGGTTCCCAAATCATGGGTCGCGACCCACTGGTGGGTCGTGAAAAGATGTAGAAAGCTTTGATCAATTATACTGGTTATTAGGATCGGTGGCAAAGCAAATTTCGAAATAAACTGCAACTTTTCAATTTTTTTAGTCTAAAACTATCTGAAATTGAAATAAATGTCAAGTCTATTATGGAAAATAGCACGAAACAATCTCATCTTTCTCACTAGCTTCACTGAAAATTAAATTTGAGAAATTAAATTTGTTTCCTCCAATGTTTTTATAATTTATTAAAGTTAAATGGGTCGCCCTAAGCTGTGGTAAAAATAGTGGGTCCCAACTCTAAAAAGTTTGGGAACCACTGCGTTACACAATTGATTATTCTTTATTTTTCTATTTTAATCTTAATCTTCTGTGAAACTCTATTTAATTGATAGTGAGTAGTAATAATTTAGAGACTGCTTCACCCTCCACCTCTTATACATATTATGCTACACAATAAATATCTTATGGAAATTACATTTGCATTTCAAAACCCTCGATTCTACTACAAATAGTGATTTTGTCGTAAAATTTTTTGTGGTCATGATTTAATCAAAAATTATAAAAACTATGAAGGCCATTTAACACACATTAGTTGTAAATAAGGTTTGTGTGAAAAAGTAGAATAAGAAGAAAATATTTTTTTTTTTTTTTAATTTGAGATTTCAATATGATAAACGTTTAGATGAATCTTATTTTCATCAAGCAGTTACGTTAGTTTACACTCGGATCATTATTTTTTGAATAAGAATTTACTGAATTGAATATATCAAATATGTGTTTAATTAATTGTGATATTCCGTCCTGTTTTTTTTTTCATTTTTCAAAGAGCCAACAAACCCATATTGCTGTCTTTCAGTACACGCCCGCCTTGTTTTGAACAACAAATAACAATAAATATTCGCCAATGCCCATATGTGTTGAAATATCACTGATCAATACATTAAATTCTGGTAATGTTGAGGTTGTTATAATAATTGTAGTTTCAATATTTACTTAGACCTGTAGGATGATTGTATTGTATTACTGAAATTGACACCACGCAAAGACCAACATTTTGACAGATCTTATATTATATATACCGATTACATTCTTACATTATTCAGTATTATAAAGTGATTGAATTATATTAATGATTAGTGCCTTTTCACCGAGTTTTGATTCATTTTCGATGTTCGCAGTTTTGTGCCAACTTTAAAGAGCTACATATTTGTTAATGTCAATGTATTGATCAGTTTAAATTACTTCAGTGCACTCATGCTTTGGTCATATATAAATAGATTGTTGTTATCTGGCATCTTTTCCACTAATCAACAGTGTTTTCAAACATGAACATCGGTTTATGTGGTGCTTGTTGTTTGGAAGGGTTATATTTATATTAACTACAGACAGAATGACGCTTTAAAATTCTTTATTGCTATAAATAGACATTGCAAGTAATGGATCAATATTCGGTCATAAGTATATATAACAGCTATTTATATAGATGTGTCGGGCCGGTTTCAGTCTTTTCTCCAATGTCTTGTTCCATACACAGTATAGCACATAATTATTAGGTTTTTCGTCCCAGTTTATGAGTTGCCAGAAATTAAAAAAATATATAAATAAAACATCAATAGACTCACAGAATCTATTTTTCATTTAATGCGAATAACTAAGTAAAAAAAACTCCAGTACTGTTTGGCCCGCCCTATAATACATTTAAATCTGGATGATCACATAGAAAAGGTCTGAGGAAAAACAAACTGTGGTAAAAAAGGTTTATGGAGATTCGAACAAATTTATTCAGTGTATAAACATTGATATCATAAACCTGAGGTCATTATTAACAATTATAAAATGATTATGTGATGGTGATTAAAACGTAATATCTAAAGTTAAATATTGTTCTTTTCGAAAATATTTTTAAAATATATCTAGTCAACAAGGTTTCATTGGTTTTCCTAATTTCCATCAGCAGTTGAATGTCTGAGCTCAAATGCCAATTTTGAATTGAATATATTTCAAATTCTTTTACTATAACAAGTATACTGATTCGCTGAAAAGGTATATTTGAATATTCAATTTCATTTAGACATCTGTATAAAGTTACCAACGATTTAAAAAATTATATCATAGTATACATAATTATACACTGTTCACAGTAATCAAATACTAGCCATACGAAGTCTGTTAATTAACATTAGACATTTACCTATCCAGTCAAACCTAATGAAAATGCAATTGTATATGGCTGTGCCATATGTGTTACGAAATTTGACTCCCGTCGGCTTGAAATATTTATCTGACAATTAACAGTGATCAATAATTTAGTCTATTACAAATGACTCTTCTCTTATTCATCCATCATGAACAATGCAGTTAAATGAAGCGCATTGGAAGCCTGTATTATATCTAGTGGATTTTATGCAGCTTGGTACATTATAAAGATTATATCCTAATCAAATCAATATGCATTTCATGTTAATCTATCACAATATAAGAAAAATTAATCATTAATATGAATCAAAATGGAACTATAATATGGGATAATGTGTTTGTTATTATATATATTCATAGACCTTATAAGCTACATGAAAATGTATCATAATTGAGTGAAAATATACATTTCTTTATTTCATGTATGTTCTTGAATTACAGGTAACACAAAATCTTGACAGTCTTGGACGCATACAACTTAGAACACGTAGGACATTGCGCGGACATCTCGCTAAAATTTATGCTATGCACTGGGGATCTGATTCCAGGTAGGCTTATTTTGACATGGCTACCAACATTTTTCCAGTTATATTTTGTTAAAATGAAGAATTTGACACATATTTCATTCAGCCTTACACTGCTTTCAATTGTTCTGTCACACCATAACAGTATAGCATTACAGTAAAAAAACGTAAGCATGAGATCTTATCATTTTTTGTGATTTCAGGAACCTCGTTAGCGCTTCACAAGACGGCAAATTAATTGTATGGGATTCGTACACTACTAATAAGGTTCGTAATTTGAATCTGTAGTCTGTATAGTATTTTATAATTCATATATAAGGAAGGGACAGTTTGTTTTAACATTATACCTTTCATTACAGGTGCACGCCATCCCTCTGCGTTCCAGTTGGGTAATGACATGCGCTTATGCTCCATCTGGCAGTTTTGTAGCCTGTGGCGGTCTCGATAATATTTGCTCAATCTATTCTTTGAAGACGCGAGAAGGAAACGTTAAAGTGAGTCGAGAATTACCAGGCCACACAGGTAAGACTTTTTTTATTTGGTATAAAATAGAATGTATAATGTAACCATTTTAGATTATATATATTTTTATACCTTCGAACCTCCTCACTGCTGTTCAGTTTATTTTGATAATGATAAATCCGGCTATTGTGAAATTATATATGGTGATTTCATGATCTATGCTTAATATGCTATGAATAATGGTTTTTGTTGAACAATAGTGATTTTATATTGCCGTGTATTGAAAAAGGTTATATAATAGCTTCTGCACTGAATTAAACTACTGTAAGTACCCAGGTGATCTTTACTGACTTTTCTATTAATATTATATACTCAGCATTTCGACATTTTGATTGCAGGTTATTTGTCATGCTGCAGATTTTTAGATGATACGCGTATTGTTACAAGTTCAGGAGATATGTCTTGGTAAGTCTCACAACACGCTAAGTTACATATGATTCTTTCAATAGTGAAACTGAGTCATACCTCGTACGCCTTTCAGCTATTGATAAAGAGTTCAGGTCGTATTGTGCATGTGCTTAAACATCCCCATGCAAATCCTAGCATAGACATCTTGTTGACATATTGTGTAATAAGCAAATAGTGTTTTGTTGCGTCGTTGAAAATAAATATCGCATATATTATAGATAATGTGTGTGGTGGTGTGCTGTAGCAGTTTCATGAAGTTGGGAATTGTGTGTGGGAGGCTCATTGTGTTTCGATATAAGGAAGTGTCGTTTATACAATATTGAAATCAGCCCACTTTGCAATGCTGAGCTAGCTATGCACTGTTTATGAGTAGCGTGTTTGTTCAACTATAAAATATTTTAATGTTGGCAGTTTCATTTTGCGAGTATTCATACTTAGCTGATTATGCTATTATGAGATATGGTTGCATGAATGTGTTTTATGCCAATTGTATTGGCAATGGTATAAATTTTTATCGACTAGTCATCTGTTATACTGCACTACTAAATAGGTGAAAAGGGTTTATAAGTATACCTAAAATTAAAAAACGAATTCACTAAGTTTCACAATAAACATCCCAAGTTATGGTTAGGATGTTTTTTCAATCAATAATTTCTGTTGATGGGCGTGGCCCATGTTTCCAAAAGGAAATTGTAACTTTTCCGGTGTGTACAAATTTATTTTAACTAGAATGGGTTAGGGTTTATGGCTTATTTTATGGAAATGATAAATCTACCTTTACATATAAAAGTTCATGTCAGGCTAACACTTGGCAAAATTCTGGTTTTGCTGCTAAATTACTAATCTATGCTTTTTCTCCTTTCCAGTGCCCTGTGGGACATTGAAACAGGCCAACAAACAACAGCATATATAGGACACACAGGTGACGTTATGTCTCTCTCAGTTTCGGAAGATAACAACACATTCATTTCTGGTGCTTGTGATGCCAGTGCAAAGTTGTGGGACATCCGTGACGGAATGTGCTGCCAGACATTCAGCGGACACGAATCGGACATCAATGCAGTATCGGTAAGTGAAATATTTGAATACAAATCATTCTATCACCTCATGCATCTTGTGTCTATGCCACTCGTGACTATGAAAAAGATCTTTGCATAGATTGACCTGAATTTAATCACATTATAGGTCAGCTTCGCTGTTTCAATGTTAGTAGACTATTGGTGTCATATCCATTCTTTATCATTTTTTAATTCTTGTAACATGCTAACTGCTCTATTACAATGATGAACCTATATGGTGACTTTCAACCTCCTTTGGACATTGTTCCTAGCAAACTTATATAAAAATTGGTTTATCAAGTTATAATATACGACTTATTCAATAAAATATATTTTTTCAGTATTTTCCAAATCACATGGCTTTCGGCACTGGCTCGGATGACGCTACTTGCCGTCTTTTTGATATTCGTGCTGATCAAGAGCTGATAACATACCAACAAGACAACATTATATGTGGTATTACAAGTGTAGCTTTTAGCAAGAGTGGACGTCTTTTGCTAGCGGGATATGATGATTTTAACTGCAATGTTTGGGATTCAATGAGGGGAGATAGAGCAGGTGGGTGTCTGGTCAAGTACAGCACAATCCATTAATTATCTGAAGCGAAATGAATAGTGTAGTACATTCAAAATTGACTATTTAATACAGCGAATGTCCCGGTTCAGGAGTAATTGTAATATTTTAAAATTGTCATTTTAGCACAGTAAAAGTGTGCTTTTAAACTTTCGCTAATTGTTGGTATAATAATGCAATGTTTATCAAACTTATGTATGTTCCATAATTTTATTTTTTATAATTATACAAGGATTTGCATATGTTGTCTATTAAACGAGACTGAATTTAGAATGTATGCTGTATTCCATTATAAGATAAATTGTTTTTGATATAATAATATGCGTAATAATACCTGTATGTTTGTTAGTCATTGTGTGGAGTCTAATCCATTATCATTTCTCCATCATTTCAGGTGTTTTAGCAGGACATGATAACAGAGTAAGTTGCCTCGGTATAACCAGTGATGGCATGGCCGTTGCGACCGGTTCCTGGGATTCTTTCCTGAAAGTGTGGAACTAAGTAGCGAGGATGTCCTGCACTTGCCGTCATCCGGGAGACCTGTCAAACGGGAGGACTAAACATTAAGACACACAGACATCACACAATAGACTCTTGTTTAAGTTGACTCCAGCAAATATGTACATATAGAGTATATACATAATGTGTAAATGTGTCTGTTGGTATGTGCGATTGTAGTATGTGCATTTCATCTGCATATTCGCACAGTCACACAAACCAAGCACACACATGTATTCGTTGTGTATGTATTATATATGAATGTAGAAAGCTCAACGATACTTCATTGGCAACGAAGATAGACATTCGTCCATAACGTGACTATCTACAATTTACCTTACCAGTTTGAGCAATAATATATTCTGTAGCAGCGATTACGGCCAACGCAAGCATTCAGGAGAACCTTCAAAAGTTTTAATCTCATATTAGACTAATCATAAAGAAGTACATTGAAGTTGTAACCTGATGCTGTGGGATAACTGGTATCATATTGATGTACATTTGTGCACATGGCTTGTCTTTGATGTCCTGACATAGAAATGTATTATTAGAGTTTATCTAAAAGTTAATCTGATCAATAGTCACTCCTGCGTTTTTACGGCTTAAATATTTGTGGGCTTGTTTGAAACTGTTAAAAGTGGACATCTTCACATCCTGTGTTACAAAAAATGCCAACATAGGATTGTATGCAATTTTTTGTGGATTTTTGTCGCACATGGAAAGGCGAGTCTCCTGATGCAGCAATGTGCGTCGCCTGGCATTTGCAGTATTGTTCTTTCATGAACAAAAGTGTGCGCATGGAACTGGCTTGCATGGAAAGTGGAGAATTGCTTTTAGTATTTAATATGAATTGACCTTTTTAGTGACGTATTATTATTATTCTTGTTAAAATTATTCTTATTATTGCCGTTGTTTTCATGTCGTCTCGAGGCTGTTTTCACCCTCGCCTATAAACTGGAATCTTATCGTTGTGACCACAGAAGATATCCCCATGTCGTGTGCTCTGTATTGAATGTCTTTGATTTGGGATGCTAATTTTTTAAACATTTGGCAAATAACAGAAAGAATAATTTTTTTTATTTTACTTCCGAAAGAATGCCCATTTTCCTTATAGATCCCTGCCCGGTACTTAAATTCCTTTTTCGTCCGTTCCTTCCCTTGTCGATGTTATTCTCAAATCAACTAAGCGTATTTTCAGTTATATGTTGTTGTACTGGTCTGCCGTATTCGGCATTTATAACTTGCTGCTTTTATCACCTTCATAGAGCCTAATAGCGCCAGCAGGTGATAATATAAATGAAAGATTGGGCCATACCTCAAATCATTACTGTTAATGGAAAACGATAAGGGTTACTTACATAACGGATGTATCTTAATGTAGATCTCATAACATGAGTGCAATACTCTCATCAACTTTCTTATAAAACCAGCTCATTATCGTGTATTATGGATAAACAAATTTAAATTTCAGACTTGTTAAGACGTTTTGAATATACCCAGTTGTAACTAGTCATTTTTAATAATAATCTGTGAGATCGTTTAGACCCCTTTTCCTCACTTTCTGCGTTTACTTCACCTTATTTAGGTGGAGTTTTAGAGGCAGTAAAGCATTTTATATTTATCAATAGTTTAAAATAATGAATTCTGATGGCATGTTTATTGCCATCATGTGACTAACTTTTCTTTGATTTGTGTAATCGGAAAGAGACACCTTGTAGTCTTACCTTTGTGCATTTTTTTACTTCTTACATACGTTGTCGTTGTTTGCTCGTCATTATATTCTCTTTTTCAGATGACGGTCCATTTTTTATTTTAATTCATTATCCGCTGAATTTTTGATCATTAGTTCTCTTGTATGTCTCAAGCTCACCACTTATTTGGGCTCCATTTAATTGAAACACCACTCTTGTAGACGACTTGCGAACTTGGTCGCGGCGGTTTATTTGCGTCCACTTTTATTTATAATGCTTTTGTTATTCGATCATGGAATTCTTGTGCCGCATTATTCGCAGTCAATGTCATTTATCATGCTTCACAAAATATCACCACTCCCTCAAATGACGAAAAATTTGCCCGATACAAATGACGCATAAACGCGATGGCTTTGCTTCTTGCCATTTTGCTATCCGACATCAAGCCGGGCGTAGATTAAATACGATTAAAATTTTGCTGTGCGAACCTGCCTACGTGCGTCACATGATCTCGTCAGAGGGTTTTTTCCAACGCCCGAATGAACGGCGATAGCAACTCATTATCGCTTGAAACATTCTCATAGCTTGGTAATGAGTATTGCTTCCTGCTTTATTAAAGAGGCCGTATGCTGCGAGATCCACCTAGCAAAATATCTCGCCCTGGTTGGGTTATTTGTGCTTCAACTATTCAATTACCCATATTAATTGTCTCGCAATAATGCGAGCGTGAACCCATCCCATACTCTTCAAGATTCGCCATCAATGAAGTTTGAATACTCGGGCACATTTCCGAAAAACTTTTCGTTATCCAGTTTTTTACAGTGGTGAATGGTTATTGTATTTTAAATGTGCAACTGTCTAATAAAATGAAGATGAAATCTAATACCTGTTTTGTTTTAATTTGTTTGTAAATTTGTAAGGTCAATTCCCGATAGCACTCGTGACTTGACCAGCCCGAACCTACTATTATGGGACTAGGCCGGAGTGCGTCGGTCTGGGTCACGTGCGTTAGCAATATTGGTAGCAATCGGTCTCGTCAAGTGAACAATATTTTCGTTTGTGGCCTGTAATTCTTTAGACCCCAAATTATGATTGAAAATATATTTCAAAACTGGAAGTACATAAATTAGTTGTTCTGCCGTCGGTTTAAAGTTTTGACCGATTTAATTCAATACCTAACTTTTACCAATATGCCTAATTTATTCTGTATTGTAGTAGGGTGTACGGAACTTTCATCTTTTAATTTACAAAAACAAAAAAATAATGATTCTAGTTTGTATTGAGTATATTGTACTCTGGAACTGCACTCACACTCAACACTCAAGAACTGCAAACAATGAAATAACGTTGGGGCTGGAAGGTTAGCTTTCCAAAATCGGCTTCGACCAGTCGCTTTTATATCTCCCAGCCTGTAGCTGTAACTAAAGCGTCCGATTGCATTCGCGCTATTTATTTTAAAAAAGAGTATGTATAAAACATGATTTTTTGTTGTGAAAGGTGGTACATTTTAGAACTGTTGTTTGGTGTCGATTTATTGTGCTTTGATGTAGGATACATCCGTTTATTAGTGCATAAGCTATGAAGTGGTCTTCCTGTTTCCTTTGTAAATATGGTTGCGTGTTATAGCCACGCGACATGTATTCAAAGTAACCCGTTCACTATACATTTTTAGACTCGGTCCGTCATGTATTATATTGTAAAGCAGGGGTCTCCAAAACGCGGCCCGGTCAGGTATTTTTTTGCCACCCGCGTCATTGTTGGGTGTTTTCCACAAAAAACTAAAATAGTACGATGTCAACTATTAGTAAGTTTTATCGTATCATTTATCATCAAGAGTCCGGTCCGACAAACTGTAAAAAGTAAGGCAAAAATGTCCCCCTGTTATTTCACTTTACCGCGTTCATGTTTTAGTCTGTTGTTATAATTCAATTATAAATACAATAATTTCATTTCGCATGTTCATTGTGATGAAATAAACAAGTTCCGGTCAGTCCATCGTGTCCGAAGAAAGGCTTGCAAAGCTAATTGCACATTCACGTTGCATACCTGCGATGTTTGGCAGATCTTATATTATGCGAGCAGTTTTCTCAACTATGAAAATTAGCAAGTCAGCCCTCCGCACACGACTAACGGACGAGCATTTGCATGCTGTCTTAAGACTAGCAAACCAACGTAAAATAAGGCCAAACATCGAAACCAAATATGCAGCACAAGTAAATGAATATGTTTCATGTCTCGTTTGCTGTTATATTCAAGGATAATTTCAGCATAATACATTCAGATACCTATTTTTGTTTGGTTTGCGGCCCGAGTGGTCAATAAATTTCAAAAAGTGGCCCGCGACATGTTTCGAGTTGGAGACCCCTTTGTAAAGCATCCGACAAGACAACCAATTCCTAAATCACAAATAGGTAAACCGGGGAAGTAGAATGGAGTGATCATCATGGGGAAAAAGCCTACTTCGTATGTTCGAAATCGTTAACTCCAGTTGCCAGACATTTTTCACGGCGGTGTGACGCAACGTGCTGAGCGTTAGGAATACGCTCGCCACCGCACATGATAACCTTGCGTGAGTTGCCGGGATAATTAAGTGCGTGAGGATTGCCTGACGCGTCGCCGTCATAAGGTGGTTCACGTAACGGCAGGTGGGTCCATAAAATCCGTGCATTGCAAAGCAAGTAACCGACTTATTAATCGCACGCCCGACATGGACTGATGGCCGGGACTGGAAAACAAGGACTGGTTCGCCATATTATTGATCTCTCTCATCGACTTTCCTCTCACCCGGGATGAATAAATATATTGAACCAGTTGCCTCATCCCATCCGCTAACAACGAACCATTGTCGATATGGAGGAACGGCCTTACAGGATTTGATTGCATACGTTAATTAATGAGATGGATGAAATAATGGTTGACCCACTAACATGTGTAACTCGGAGCTTTACCCTCGGTTCTTACGCTTCGCGGCCACAAGGGTAGCTCTTTCATTAGCATATTCGCCAAACATCAAAAATCGTCGTTTCTCATAATAAATAGCAAGGCATGACTAATATCCAATTACCGTATTTCCCGGCGAATAAGTCTACCCGGTAAATAAGACGAGGCCCGTTTTATGTAACCTGCCAATAAGTCGGGGTAGTAAAATCGCATCAACATCGGAATCTCCAATTGCCATGCAATACCCTTTGAGCGGTCACCGCGTTTGCGCATTGGTTAAAATAGCCTATAATGACGTTTTCTTGTAGCATAATATCCAATCCATAATAACTACGGGAATTCAAACTGTCTTTAAATTTTAATCTAATTGTGTTCAACTTGCGATTGCGTCCACCATAAAAAAACATTACCTAATACATAATAGGCGACACCAAAAAAATGAAAATTATCATACTCGCCTAATAAGACGCCAAATATCTGAAGTCCAACAAATCAAAACTGGTGACCGTCCTGAACAGCACGCTCACGTGTGCAGTGTTAGCGTTAATCAGAATCTGTCATTAGAGAGGTCCACTATCATAATACAATTAATTCGCGTCGTTAGCAGTGATGCAACGAAAGCGTGCGAATATCAAGCAACAGGCTAGGCGCTAAGGCAGTTTGAATCCCAGTGAATACAGCCGAGTCCCAAGAAAGATAAGCAAGTGCGAAGCGCACACACAGGAAGGGATGCCTTGAATAACCAAAGCTGGTTATCGATCAGCGATTTTCTGATGGTACTCACTGCCCCCGACTACAATTTGAAATGATCCTACAGTCCTAAATGTTGTAAAATCGCATAGCTCTGGACAAACTGTGTTCTGTGACCGTTTGAAACCGTTTTGATTACTGTAATTAAATATAAAAAGACAGAATAATTAAGTTATATTTCATTCGTACTGAAATTTCCGAAACATAAACAAAAACTAACAAATTGCACGGGAAAACGAGGTCATGTTTACAACCATGTCAGAGAATCTGTCTGTTCGGCTGGCAAATCGTATACTGTTACGTCGCTTTTCCGAAGTGGAAACAGAGATTTTACAAAAAAATGCTAAAGATTTCTTTTGCTCATTTGATTGAGCTTAGCTGGGAAGTTTTTCCAACTTTTTGCATTGCATATTGTTTATTATTTACAATCGAATACTCTTTTTCCAAGTTGAAACAGATAAAAACATATTCGAGGTATTCGATGTCAATTTAGCGCCTGCCCATATATCTTAGCATCGAAAAGAAATTCCTGATGAGTGAGGTGGAAGAGGCTGTCGTTCACACATTTGTTAACAGCTAAGTGGCGATTTGACATAAAAAAAATAAGTGACTTGCTTTTTGTTAATACATGAGTTCAATCGTATACGTGTTGTTTAGTTTAATGATTAATACAAACATTTCGCTCTTACTTGACCTTTAATTTATTTGTTTTCATGTATAACGACATCTATATTCTGTTTAACCCCGGAAATATTTTTTAAGTTAGGGATAAGGGGCAGCATTATCAGAAACTCGCCCCGGGCAGCAGAAAAGTTTGGCACGCCCCTGCCTGCGTGTGAGAGCTCAGGAAGGAATGCGATTAGGAAAATAATGTCAGAAGAGAGTGAAAAAGTTCCAATACTGAATGATACCTAAGAAAAATTAAATTGTATACGGCAAAAACGAGGAGAAGAATGTGTGCATTCTTGTGTACAGCATGTAGTAATATTGAGAAGAAGCAGCATGTATAGCTATCGAGAAAAGAACGTTAGTCGCCCAGCGTGAAAATAGCGTAAGTTCCAAAACCAGACGTGGTGAGCATCGAAACAGGCCCACCAGACAGACATTGATGAAGGAGAGCCAGGGTAAGTTTGGGACGAGAAAAGCAAAAAAAGGCAGAGAACAATAAATATCAGATAGGTAGAGCGTCGAAATAAACTCCAGTCAGTTTTGGCGGATCGTGAAATGGCAGAAGGTAGCGTTGGAGCAGAAAATCTCCGTTAGTCAAATGTGGCCAAGGCGGGCGAGAGATATCAGAGAAGTGTGGAAGGGCAAAAATTGAACAGATAATTATTTGGGCACCAAGTAAGATGTTTATAACAAGGACTACAAAATCCAGTAAAAATCGTTCAAAGGGGTTTAACACACATTCTTCAAAATGTAATAGAAAAAAGTCATCTTATTCAAAATCGGGTCGATATAAACGCCCAATTGTAAATCAGAAACCGAAGACGACAAACTGAAGTAAATTTAATATTTCTCTACATAGATTTCGAGAATTATATTAGGTTTTGTGTATAGTTAATTTCTGGTTATTTTCGAACGCAAGTCCACGAACACAAAATTTCAACTACCGGTAGGTAGCTCCAGACGCCCTTGTTTCACAGACAAATATTGTGTTTTGTTTCCTATGGCTGGATATCAGGACAATCGTGGAATCGAAGAAGTGTGCCGCAGTGAGACTATTATCTGGGCTATGCGATGTTAAATTTACTAAGGTACAACTTTACTTGGTATCGCAATTTTTGCGTTTACTACAGAAAAAAGTTGAGAAATATCGATTCGAAATTTTCTTCCGATGCTAGAAAGTATCCAAAGTTACACGATTTGCCGACAGTTTGAAGCGAAATTGCTCACCTGTCACTGTCTTACTTCGTTGCCACATTCATAGTCTAATATGCAATTTATTTCATTGATCTGCTTGAACTCTATAAACTTTGACGAATTAGGCTCGCAGACACGACTTACTACAGTCACATCACAGAGTCCGCTGAACAACACACTAACAAATAGTGGCAGCGATCACGCTTGACTGATTAAAAAAGTATTTCGATGAATTAATGAAATGGCAGCAAATTGTTATCACCAGTAGACTGAACCATGCAAGACATGCTTACTAAATTTTTTTAAAATTTTTTAATTAATTTGCACCAT